CCGGTTAAACTGATAAAACAGCCTGTTTAACAATGATGGCGGAGAGGTTGATTTCCAACTTCTCGCTAATGGCACACATCCAGTATGACGAATCGTCTCGTTACCATCTGCAATCTCACCATCTTGAATAACGAGTGGCTGGTGTTACCAGTATACTAGTACCTAAGTCAACGAGTTCGTTTGTTTCTGCGGCTTTAAAGCGATCACTTTTTCATCGCACTCGCGGAGAAAACGGATTTACCGATGAACAACAACGTTCTTTATCCACCAAACCTTCAGAGGCTTGCTGACGGCAAAGTGACCATGCGTGCACGTCCACTGACCAACGTTTACACTGCTGTCTCGAGCTCCAACATAACTGGGAAATTCCCAGGATCCAAGTCGTTCCAATCAACCCCTGCAACAACGGCACCGGACGTATCGAAGCGAACCTCTCACGATCCGGTAGACGTGAATGCCACACCATTGAATGTCGATTACCCAAACGATCTTGATGCACATAAACGCAAGAAGAGTTCAACATTAAACATGACTAGAAAGCGTCAACGCATGAGCTTCACCGACACAGACGAGGAAGATGTAGAACTTCGCCGCAGCCGACGTCGAGTCAATATGCAGCGATACAGAAACAAGATCCGTATGCACGCTGACACACTCGAAGCGGACGTCCAGCAGCTGCGAGAAGAAATTCAAAAGCTCCAATTGAAACATCATACGCTTCTGGCCACCTCGAAGAAAAACACTGCGTGGGGAGTTGCAGCTGAATATTTTCGCCTATTTCCCTACGGTTTGAGAGGAGGTTTTACATCTACAGAGCCTCACGACTTGATAGAAGCGCCGTCCAGTGGATCGAGTGAACAGAGGGGATTCCTGATTGCAAACATGGCGGCTGATGTTATCGGTCCAAAAGGATGTCGTTTGCAGAAACTGGTAGAAGGTCTCCGCAAGTTGACTCTGTATTTACCAACTATGAGCACGCAACTCGTACGGCTTGAAACTGGACCAAGAGACTCAATCATCGCAAGCACCCGTGTTGAAGTCACCATTACAGCAAACGCTATCCGCTTGGCGTTCCCACATCTGATTCACAACAAGAAGCGGTCACGATTTGCATCAATGTTGCAGGGTCAACAGCTTGTGACGCAGGGCGTGGTGCATTTCGAGTGGGACAGCGACTCAAGTCG